GTGTAACCCTACTATCCGAACGAAAAACATCGAACTCGCGGCTGGAATTTCAAAATTACATGCTTTGTCTGATTGTGAAACATGTCTGATCGTGACACATTCTTCCCTACTGATAACCTAATAGTGTGATTTTGTTTTCTTTGCAGGAGGCTGCTCACTTTCAGAATCACTGTCAGACATATTTTATTTTTATTTATTCTTAAAAATTATGTATTTAGTAAAACACAGGCTATGTATACTGTAGTAAACACAACTGTATACATTATTGGTATCCGAGCTCAGTGTGGCGAGAGAGATAGCGTAACGCCGAACCAGTGGGAAGAGAATCGCACAGCCGCTTGCGCATGGCAACCCGCCGCCACGTCAGCAATTGGTTTTACGTGCGATGTTTCACATCGAAAGTGTTTTTTGTATAATTCAATGGTTATATAAAAGTAGTTGTTTTAAAAGTAGTTTCTCTTCCGTGTATTTCCATGTTTATATGAAAGTAGCTGAGAGTAACTTCTATGTATGATCTATAAATTTTTGTAAATAGTTTGTTTTGAAATGATTTGCTTTCTTCCTTCCTTTGGAAGTTTCCCACATTTTTTGTATAAAGATGGAGAAAAAGAAAGCCATAACCTTTCTTTCTCAAAAATTACTCTCTACTCAAAATATACCCCTTTCAATCTAATAATCCCTTCAATAATATTTTTCATTACAGCTTCTGAGCTATCGAATGCAAGAAACATGATGCAAACATAAAAAGGAATACTGAATGTTACGGGCAATAAAAAGTTCCAGCTCGTGCAGATATCCAACGTTATGCAGGTAAATAATAGAGTCGTGGTAATTGACCAAAGACCGTTGTTACTTCATAGTCATGCATCAGTTTTTTTTCTACAATACTACACGAGTCACTTAAAGGTTGTAGTATCGAGGCGGTGCCCATTTCGATACCTACATTATTAAGCAACCATGACAAGCTGTAATTAAAGTAAATTGGACTGACTGAAAATGAAAATGTGATACTATATAAGTTGTCATTTCTTGATTTCACGATAAGTTTGATTTTTTTCAAGCTTTGGATTTTTTACTACGATGCATTGACTGGCTGTATTCCGAAATAGTTATGAGCTCTCTCAACAATTCTTCTCTTTCTGCTTCTGTTATTTCTATATAATGTATCCGTAGATGAAAGTACTTGTTTCAAAAAAGGCATTCTCTTCCAGTTTTCACTTGAAAGAAGCACGTAGGGGAGACGGGGGCTGGTTCTAACAAATTTTGAATTAAGCGTAATATTTTGTAAACTACTTTAGCAAGAAACATGGTTTTTTGNAGGCTACCTAAGAAGATTAGTAAAGCGTTTTCAGGCTGATGGGATCAATTAGTATCATGTAGCATGTAATCCTGAAATGCGTCACAGGAGATTCACCTCTCAAGCTTACCTATCTGACGAAGATAGTCGCAGATTGACCGCTGATCAGGTCGTCACTAAATCGAGTAAATTGTACCGTGGTCTATAAATCTTGTAAGGGATTAGTTTTCTCTGGGAAATTCAGGCCCGGGTGACAGAGCACATATACTCTACCATCGCTGCGAAGCGGATCAGGTTTTTAGTGTTTGGACTTTGTCAGCCGGCCTGAAAGATCAGTCTCTAAATAAAGTGGTCGGCTTCGTTAAAAAACTGAATTGATTCGGTCGAGGTCAATAGGCGTGAACCACAATAAACCCCCGCGGATTGCAGGAAATATCCGAATAGACCCGCCCATTTTAGGCCTACCTACTTAGTTACCCGGGTGCGGTAAAAGTTGCAGAGAAAGACAGAAATCCATTTCTCATTTGGCAATTGATATTGCACTATTGCACACAATTACACTACTAGACAAAATGACAATTTTCACCTGCCACGATGTAGTTTATCAAACTCCATGAAAATTTTATTATATAAAGGCCTCATTGACTATAACAAACTTCCCCAAAATGTGAAGAATAACCTGTTTCAATTCAAAAAAGATTTGACTGATTATATGAAAGGTATCACAATAGAATAGTATTAGTATTATATCCTTACTATGTGTGTCTATATCACATGAAATATTATGTATATTATGTTTGTGTATTAGGATCTTCCTACCAATAAATCATTCATTCATTCATTCATAACAGACCGTCGTGTGGTGGTGTAAATAAGGGGAGAAATTCGTGCTTATGTAATGTTCTTCAAAGTCAGTTGAGTACACCAATGCATTCGTGGTTTGACCTAGAACCTGCTACGAATGCTTGGTTTTCAGACTTCAATAATACGTTTCAAGTACTATCCTGGGCTAAGGTCGAAACACTGTATCATCCTTTTTTATCATTAGAAAAAAAGCATCGGATCTATCAATCAAATTACAAGTATATAACAGATAACAGATCTACTATGGTGTGCAATCGCTGTTTATTGTAGGATTGTTATTATATTTTGTTGATATGGGATGGAATCGACCTATACTTGATGAAAATCCATAACGTATTCAAAAAATACTTTATTGTGAGATTTTCAGTAAACAGTTTTGCAATAACGCAACACGTGTTTCATGATACAATAGCTTTTTCGGAAGTGTCTTTTCTCCTACTATAAATGTGAGCAAAAATACGTCTGAAGAAGCTATTGTATAGCAAAACGTATTGCGTTTGTGTAAAATACATATTGTTGGACACATTTTGGAAATGATGTTCCACAGACCCGCCTCTAGACGTGAATAAGTGATAATCCGGGCTTTACAATGATTACAAAATTGTTTAAATCTAACAAATTTAATCCTACGTA